GTGAATGTTGATCGACTTTGAAATGAACTTTAATAAAACTATGAAAGAAAAGTTAAAAGCTATGCTTGAAACTGGTGTCCACTTTGGCCACCAAGTACGCCGCTGGAATGCAAAAATGGCTCCTTACATCTACGAAGAGAAGAACGGTATCCATATTTTAGATATTGTTCAAACTGTAGATGAACTTGAAAAAGCACGCATTGCATTTAAAAAAGCAAAAAATGTTGTTTTTGTTGGAACACGCCCACAAATCGCACCAGTAATTAAAAACATTGCCGAAGAATGTAATGCACATTATGTAAACACACGTTGGGTTGGAGGTTTATTAACAAACTGGTCAACAATTTCAGCATGTATTCAAAACTTAAATGACTTAGACAAACTTCTTGAGCAAGATCCGAAAACAACTGGATTAACGAAAAAAGAACTTGTACAGAAAGAAAAGGAAATGGAACGCAAAGATAAATTCTTTGGTGGTGTCCGCCAACTTTCATCACTTCCAGATTTAGTAGTAATTGTAGGTCAACCACATGAACGAAATGCTGTATTAGAATGTCAAAAATTAAACATTCCAACAATTACACTTTTAGATTCAAACTGTGACCCAAGCTACACAACATATGGAATTCCAGCCAATGATGATTCAACACGTTCAGTGGAATTTATCTTAAAGCAATTAGTAAGTTAAAAACGTAGTTTTTCAAATCGACATTGAAGGGATGTTTGAAACATCCCTTCAATGTCGAGCAACTACAAACTATAAAAACGAAAAAAATTGGAGGATGATCGTGCAACTCGAGGATTTTGAAACCCAAAGTAACGTGGACAAAGCCGTGGTGCGCTCAGACAATACAAAGTTAGTCACACTCACGGATCTTGTGCCAACACCTCCTGGTACCAAGGGCCAGGAGATTAGTAAATACCTTTTTGAACAACCTGCCTATAACCAAGACTGGTTCAATATTCTATTTGATAGTAAGGCAATGGCACGTCAAGAAGAACTTAAACGTGAATACCTTGAAAAAATTGCAAACGGCGAACTCTTCACCGAAGAAACCTTATATGCAAAAGTACAAGGCTGGAGTGTTTATAATGATCCAGACCCTCAACTCAAAGAATTTAAAAAAAAATATGCAGAAAAGCCGTGGGTGACACGTGAAAGCCAACTCATTCTGCAAACCCTTGTGGCACGTGGAGAACGTGCATGGAGTGAACTGACATGGAGTCTCTATTATAACGGCATGCGCTATTGGCCACGTGTACCACAAGCTGTATGGACAGTAACCCGTGGGCGCCTCTTACACTGGATTCCTCGAGATCGCTTAACTGGGCAAATTTTATGGAGACAATGGACAAGTGAGTTTACGCCAGCTTTCGCAGTCGCATACCGCTATAAATACTTTCTAGAAACCGAAACTCGTCGTTTCGCACGCCAAGCATTTCAATTCATTGATTATCGTTCTGCAATAGCAACAATTGCCCTCGGTTCTTATGTTTTTGGGATGGTGAACTATTTGCACCATTATAGCCAAAGTGAACAAGAGCGAAAACTCATGTTTCAAGGGCCACGCACATTCACGCCAGTACTCATTTCAAAAGAAGCACAGGAAAATCATGCACGTTTAATCGACGAAGGAATTCGAGCAGTCTACGATTCGATTCAAGTGGATAGTCCACAAGCCTACGGTGCCTATGGAGAAAATGTAGAACGTAAAGTTCAATATGAATCTGAAGTTCAAGAGCAAGGTACGACGAAAACACTTGTCTTCTATAAAAAGCATAATGTTCTTCGTACAACTATCCCAACTGAAGACTTAATTCACTTAAAACCGTTTAACCGATCAAAAGACAAAAGCTTCACCGAAACGGGCGGTGTACCAATGAAACTGCGTACACCTGGGGTGCAACCAGGCCAAACACGTATGCCAGAATTTAAGATCTATGGCGACAATAAATTTTATGTTGAGCGCACATTTGACATGAATTTACGCTTAGACCAGCCTTTTGCGCCACGTGAAGACGATATTCAAAAATTTGAAGAGACGTTACAACCAGAAATGGAAATTATCATGGCCCCCGATGCATTTGATCACTCATATGTTGAAGCCCATAACCTTCAAGTGGATACACATACAGAAACGATCGAAGACCTTTACCCAAAACCGCTTACGCTTGGAATGACAGGTTCAGAAACACGTCCTTATCCATATTCATTCAAAGACAGAAAAAAGACAAGAAAACGCGTTGCGGAACCCAACGAACAGCTGGAAGCACCAATTGAAGACGTTATTCAAAATCTTACGGACTTTTTGGAAGATCCAACATTTGTCGAAAACCTTGATCTGACACCCGTTGTAAAAGACCCAATTAAAGTTGATTTAAGCGGACTGGAAGATGATGAGGAAAACAATGGGACAACGTTTAGTGAAGATAGTGAAGACGAACTCGACTTCGAAACTCAAGAAACAGACAGTGAGGAAAACGGCAACCCACTCTCCATGGACGACCTGGAAAGCGACTATTCACTGGATGAGGGGCAACGTGACACTAGTCTCCGTAACTATTACAGTTTAATGCCAACACGTTGGCCAGCTGCAACAACAAAACCTACAAAGACTGCAAAAACAGCCTTTGCAAATGCGGATCAAAGTTGGGCGAGAGGGGGGAAAACTACCCCAATTGCTATTGAAGCAAAAACGCAAATGGCAGGCCTTAATACTGGGTTAATGAACGTGAAAGGTTGGACACTTCCAACCACTCAAATGACCTACCCGTTCCTTGCAGTGAAAGATATTGCTAAAATGGCTGATCCTGATTTGGGTCAATACAAAGTACATTTTGAAGACATCGAGAAAGCACCGGATGAAACAACACGTTGGTACAGCCGTTATGAAATGGATGAAGAAACCAATGAATATTTCGGTGAAGTTGACGAGAATCACGAAAGTGACAATGACATGACGAGCGAAGAGGACGAAACAGAGCCTGAACCAAATGGAACTCCAACAACTGAAACTTCCAACATGCTCGAAACGGAAACAGATGACGACGAAACGAGTGATGTCGAAGATGAAGACGATGACGAGTTACCTGAATTCGAGACCAAAATTGAAGAATCTAATGGTAAGGTACACTCTGTTGACCCCGTGGATTCCATCGAATTACTCGAAGGCGACACACTTTATGATCTTGACAACGACACCGAAAACTCAGTTGCTGAACTGGATATGGATGTCGAAATCGATGAACCCTACAATCCAGCTGTTTTAAAAAATACAGATGTTGACGAATTCCTGCACCACGAAAGTAAAATGGGTAATAACCTTGACGACACGTTAGAAAATGTCGAAAAAGCGGACGAAACGGAAGAAAACGAACCGTCGCCGGAAGACTTTGAACCTGGTTTTGCTTCAGCATACGCGCAAGCAAAGTTAAACCATGCCGACGTTGCATCAGACCCACACTTTGGAGATGAATTAACAGGCTTAAGCCATACGGAAGCTAAACTTTTTCAGACGGAAGCCAACCCCGAAACGGAAACCCGAATGTTTCTTCATGGAACGCATGAGGTTCACAGTCGTTCGCTTGCTTCCACAAGTTGGGAACTTGAGGACAATATTACAAATGCATTCGCAAAAGTGCATGTTCGACTTATTCGTTTTTGGCAAGCAAACGCCCTTGTTGTTTACCCAGTAATCGCTATTTATCTCATTCGCCGCACAGAACGCTATCAAGCACAGGTTATTTGCCGTGCCCGCGCTAAAAATACAGAGACACATAAGTATTACACACATTTAGGGCGTGCCCCACAACGTGCTAAATTCACGGATCTTACGGGGAACGAAGGAGGGACACGTCAAATGCGTGAGTTAATGAGTGCATTCCGACGTGTCCGTGGGTTTACTGAAACCTATCGTCCTGGTATTTTAATTAATTTTTGGGAAATTGATATTTTACCACTTATTCCACGCCGTGTTCGTGCAGCCTTTTTACCACCAAACGGAGAGATGTATCTTTGGTACAAAAAGCAACTTACAAACGTCTTTGGTCAAACGACGAATTCACAACGAGCATTACAAGGAGCAGTTCCTGTCGAAACATTCTGGAACTCCGCACCAATCCGTGGGTTATATGCCTGTGAAAAAGAGGAACCACCATTTAAAACAAGTCTTGAAGTGTTTGAGACCATGGATAGCCTGATTACAACCGTAACAAATGGGCCAAATGAGCAAAGTGGTCTAAACCAGAAAATTGGCCAATACTTGTATAGCCAAAGCCATAAAAATATGGATGAAACCATTTCAAAAATTGAACGTTATTTCCCAGCAGTAATGCCAATGGTTCTTAAAGTTCAAAACTTTTGGGATCATACTCCCCTTCTTGCAGCCATTCGACCAGGAAAATATTCGCTTGACTCACTTCCACGTGGATTATTACTTATTGGTGAAAGTGGAAATGGGCGTACCCTTATGGCCCGTGCTCTTGCGAGCGAATCAGGCCTTCCAATTATGTTAACGGAAGGAATGCGTTTCGTACACCAAAAGTGGGGTTGCTTCCGACTTCGCTCACTTTTTTACCGTGCGCGTTTAAATTACCCATGTATTCTCTATATTAAAAATTTAGAGCTCATTACGTTACACCGTAGTATCTTTACTGGCTATTTTAATGTACGTAACTGTGCACAATTTTTAGTTTGTTTTGATGGTATTGTGGATCGAAAAAAATCAACAATCCGTCAGCCGTTTATTATTGGATCCGTAGAAACATCAAAATACATGGATCCGGCATGTGTACGTTCTGGACGTTTTGAATGGGCGATTAAATTTAACCTTCCAAATGCACTCCAGCGCTATTCACTTCTCACCACTGCGTTAGAAACAAACGGTCGAGCAACGAAAAAAGATGTAAGTCTACCATTTTTTGCGCTTACAACCTTTGGGTATAGTGCACAAGAAGTTGCGCAAATGGTCGGTCTCTCTGGGTTCCTCGCAGTAACGAAATATGAACGTAAAGCGAATTACGAACATTCAAATGAATCCTTTGCAGAAGCCGTAGGGTCATGTAACCGTCTAATCATGCGCCATGAAGATAAATATGTGCATAGTACCGATATTTTTGAAGACGGATTTTATGCACGACTCACTGCGTATGAAGAAAAAAGTAATTTCCCACACCGTCTTTCTTCAACAATCAAAAATGATGGTTTTATTCCATTTGAAACGAAATGGATTCACATGATTTTAGAAAATTACGAGTTCTCCGGACAATTTGAACCGAAAGAAGGGTGGCCAATGACTGGAAGCTTTTCAAATGCCCGTAGTCCCGAAGAATTTGAAGCGAGACGCCGTAGCGCGTATACATTAATGTATGAGACACTGGCCCCACCAAAAGGCTCAATGTCTGCTTCGGATCCGGCGTACATTAACGTTGTGCTTTCAACACAAATGACTGAGATGAATCCACTCCCATTTACAAAAGAAACAGTTTATCATGCGGATGCTGCAACACTCGTAACATGGGGTATTTTTGATTTACTTTCAGAAATTGCGTTTTTCAAGCAAACAAACCGAAAACTCCAAGGCACATCCGAAATCATTCTTGGCATGGAAACATGTTATGACACCTATGCACACGAATTTGCAGAACAACTCGGAGATCGTTTCTCCCCATTAGGATGGGATTCACAACTTGAACGAGTTCAAGCGGGAATTGA